GAACTGAGAATAGGTGATCATCTTACTTTTTTTTATTTTTCAGATGTTTTGTATTGGAAATCAATTTTTAATCCTCAACGCTTTTTCCCATCATTTACCCTGAAGTCTCATGATTCGCCTAACCAAGCTGAAATAATCTTTTTTTTTTTTTTTTTTTTATTTTTTTTTTTTTTATTTTTACAAATAATGTGAAGAAATACTTAATAATTATCTGTCTAAAGACGTTTTATCTTTAGGGAAGCCATCCATCACTTAGTTAACCGTCTTGTCCCTGAAAACATTGCTCTGATGGCTGAAATCTAAAACGAAAACCGCTCATTTATAAGAGTAACCAGTTTAGACTCTGGCGTATGGAAAAAACTAAGAAAAACTAGAATGACTTCCTATCCAATGACTTCGTAAAATGTTCATGCAGACAGTGTTTTTTTCCGGTATTAGAAGTTTTTTTTTTAAATGCTTAAAATATTTAAAAGTTTCCGATATGCACATCGGCAGTCTAGAATCGCTAACTTAACCATGCACTTATTTCTCGCAAATAACAAGGTTTCTGCTTTTAACTTTATTACCAAATCAGTAGCTCAAAATTCTTACTCCTTCGTTTTATTCAAACTAACAACGCTCAAATGTTATTTAATAAGATTGGTACCTCACAGACTACTAGGTTTAATATACGGTTATAATGACAAATTTCAGACGGTTCTAAATGTCATATTTACAGACTGAAACAGATTTAGACTGTTTTACAATTTCCACATTGGCATAAATGTTTAATTTATCTGAAATATGAACGAAACACCTTAATACTCTGTTTCGTTTACTTCCATCATGTATTATTCGAAGTAGCCAGCTGCAACCGCCAATAAGGCAACTTCCACTCATTAAATTCTTTTAAATTTGAATCCACATATTAAATTTTGTCGACTGGGGGGGGGGAAGAACCATGTTTTCGCCATCGAGAGGCAGAAGAAAGGAGTTGTAGCATTTACTTGATGCGTAGCATTTCTAATGCGTCTCAGTATGTATCACAAGGAGGCTTAATTATGTTAACATGTACATCATAAGAATGCATTGTAATGTCTGAAACATGAATCACCAGAATATTTATCTAATTTAAGGGTCATAAAGATCAACTATAATTCTTATTTATGAATAAGTTTAAGGTTCGAGTTAAAAGGATAAATAAAAGCGAATACATGAGCACTTGTCGGTGTTCTTCAACTTAGATAGCAATCATTCACGCAGTCAAGTTAAACAGTCTAGTATATGTGATACTCATACTCTCAATGTTAAGCAATTCATATTCATCCATTAAAATTCTTATTATATATATATTTCTTGTACACGAACTCTTGAAGACCTTATTTGCATTTACATCACATTTGTAAATTAGACATTCTTAAACTGCAGGAAAGTAAAACGTAAACCCATTTTGTATAAGCATTTTGCATTTTTTTCAATTGTCGATAACCTATTAAGGTTATTTAGAATTACACAGCACACAGTAACAGGTTATCAAAAAGTAAAATTCACTTTTAAATGAAAATACGAGTCGGGTCATAAATTTATGCAAATAGCAATTCTCATATATGAAAAATAGTTTGAGAAAGGATTGCGTAATATTTTGAGTGATATATCAGTTCTGGGAATTTTAGAAATCATTAAATGATAGCAGTTGAAAAACGCACTGTTCATCTAAACATTTCAACAAAAAAAGTCATTATTAATTACATAAGTCGTCCGTGTCTGTAGAACTATGATTTATACGACATCAACCGGTGCATTAACTTAATTTAAATCGTGGATCACGGAATTTGGGCAGAACGTAAACGAAAATATAACACGACCAGAATAGCCATCGGCTCGGCGTAGTGAAATAAATGTGCAAAATATTAGAATGTCTATAAAGAAAGACCAACACTTTTGGCGAAAGAGTTGGCGGTGGTGTATTTAATTATGGCAAAGCACACTAGGGCTATCTGCCTAAGGGTAGAGATGCCTTCGTGGAGGATTTTCTAAGAGAAACTGCCTCGTATACATGTTACACATGGGAAAAACCACAAAAACACCCTGCAGCCAGCCCATTCGCGGGATTCGAACCTCGGACCGAACTACCAGTGTACAGCGCCTTTACCGCTCGGCCGCTGTGTGCCCGAAAGAGTTGGAGAATTTGAAGATCTGTATGCAGCAGGATGATGCCACACGCTATACCTGAAACGGGTCCATTGGTGTTTTAAAAAATGTTTCAAAATATGTTAATTTCTCACAATCATATCATTATCTAGCCGCTGAAGAGTTTTGATCATTCTCCGGGCGTTATTTGAGTATGTCGTGTACGCAAAAAGAAACAGACAATAGTAACCCAACAGAAACAATATATTCATCATGAGATAAAAGCACTTCACGAGGCATATGTCAGAATTTTTTCCTATATTTATATGCTAGGCTGAAAGAATATCACATGTATAATAAATACTCTAAGATATTAGAATAGAAGAGAAACACCCAATGTCACAATGAAAATCGCAATAACAACCTTGTATTTAGCGTAAGTATATTAAAACACTCAATCGATTTCGAGGGCAGCTAAAGATCCCTCCTCTTCAGGAGAACGGCATTCTTAAAAAGGGGAAAGAAAGAAGAAAAATAAAGCAATGGCAAAGGAGCCTGAGAAACACGTGGTCCTTATGAGCACTGCAGATGGTCGTAACAACAGGATTTTGAATCAGAGTTACACTGGCCGTCACGTACTCTGATTCAAAATCCTGTTGTTACGACTACGTGCAGTGCTGATAACGACCATGTGTTTCTGAGACGCCATTTGCCATTGCTTTACATTTCTTCTTTTTTTCCCCCTTTTTAGGAGTTTCGTTCTCCTGATGAGGAGGGACCCTTAGCTGCCCTCGAAATCGATTAAGTGTTTTAATATACTCACGTTAAATACAAGATTCTTATTGAGATTTTGATTACTCTACGATATTATTTTTAGAAAGTAAATTCGCAGATATAATTTCTATTAAATGAAAGTTTGAGATGGTAACTCAATCACATTTTTTTACTCAGGTTCGAGAACAAAGGTTTATTGTCCGTCCTACAATGCAGTAAACTTGGATATTTTAAAATATTAATTCCTAAATATTTGCAGTAATGAGGAAAAGAGCGATTAAATGTACGAAAAAGAAGAAAATTAAAGGATTATTTTATATTCAATAACGAATTAAAAATATAGTAAGAATTAATGAATGTTTCCGTCAATGACTCGTTATGTCCTACTAAGTCTCCAATCCCAATCAATGTATTCCGCATTGAAAACGGTCAGGTACTGTCAGGGTATTACGAAACTTCATCTTTATAAGGGAACTATGGGTAGCTTGATGATCTCGTTCGTTAAAAATTACTCTTTCTCGTAAACATTTCTAGGGAAACGCAATCTAGTATAGAATATTTGAGCAATATCATTTTAAAGCAAAACTTGTGCTAGTTCAGTCAGTCTATATTAATTTATTATTTAATTTTTTTCAGATTTACAAATGATTTATGTTTATTGCTAACTTTTAAAGAAAATGCAAGATACTACACAAAATTGCAAGTAAGAATAATGAAGCTTGAAGTATGTTTGAAAGACTGCTTCTCGTCACAAAAGGGGTTTGCTTTACATTACTTCCTCAGCAGCAGGGACATGAGAATAAATGAGTCCCTGCTGCTAAAAGTATTACAGTAATTTGTTAGTAGGTGTAGAGGAAATGGTTTTAACAAACCAGTATCGGGTAAAACTTCTAACTGTTTAAATATGAAAAAAAAAAAACACATCGGTACAAAATAAAACGTTAAAAAAACGCAGTTTTAGATTTACATATATTTTAAATAAATTCTGCTGTTTTCTTGGGCGATCAGACAGAGGTGACTCTGCTTCAGAGAAGAATAAAGTTTTGCATCCAAAAGAAAAGGAAACCTATGTATGAACACCCTGGAAGTCGGTAGAGTTTTATTAAAAATATAGGCCAATCTGAAGTTGCGCTTTTGTCTAATTTTATGCTCATATTGCTTTTGGTTTACTAATTCTTTTGAGTAACTTATTTAAGTTTCTGAATTTGTATATGCTTAGATATTGAAAATCTTATTTGAAAGGTTTCTGGTAAAAGAGGAAAAATCATTTGCTTGAATCATATATGATATCAGACCTCTCTGACTTGAAGCGGTCATTTAATTAAGTCACAAAAAGCATTTTTGATCAATTAATAATTATTTCAAACAACGTATTTACTCGCATATTTCTCCCAGTTTCTTATTTTCCCTTAGATTTTCTCAACATATGACAAGCTTCTAATTAATGGTAACAATATAAGATATGTTCGCAAATAGAAAATGCTACCGTTTAAGTAAAAGAAATCGTGCTGAAATGGAAAAGTTCTTTGAAATTCTGAATACGATCTTATTAGTGTGCCTTTATATAGGCTTTTTAATGTGTTGTGGCATGATTTAAGCGGTTCATTTAGAAATAACATAATCCCTGAATTTTTTCCATCTGAGGTTTCAAGCGGTAAAATTAGAAAGAAAAGGGAAAACAAATACTCCAGTAAATATGGTATTATTAATCAGTTAATATATCTATGTTCTTAGCATTCCGTTGTTTTCAAATCGTCATTTAGTAAGTCTGGCACCTACACAAGATCTCAGTCATTTGTAATTCTGTAAAAATAGCTGAAGATTTTATCATGCTATATTGATTTATCATTTTTAGTGTTCTTTATTTAATTCTTTAAAATTTTATCATTCTTTATCGAAAACTTTCTTAGCCTGGTTTATATTTTTACATAGGCATTGAATTTTAATTAGTTTAAAAAAAACAAATTACTCAGAAAGCAAAAAGTAATCTTTGAATAAAAAATTCGCTTATCCATAATTTCTTACAAATTGAATTTCTTAAATAAAATAATAAATTCTTAAATTTTAAGACCTCAACAAGAAAGCTCGAATTTATTAATCAAAACACATCTACATACCTCTGCACTCATTATGCAAATATAGACTGAATTCCGGTGGACATTGACATATTGTTTTCCCAGGTTCAATTTCTACACATTTGCCATTCTCACATTTACAAACTGTAAAATAAAATATTAACTATAGTAAGAAAGTCTTGTTTTGCAATTCGATTAGATATGAAAAATTATAATTTCAAAACGAAATAAACAATTTTTAAAATAGAAAAATAAATTAGTTCCTTGGTTAAAAGTAGTTTGAAATATAGTGAAATGAAGTAACTTATAACATACTTAAAAATGAATCTCGAAAAATTTTTTAAATGGAAACGTCAAAAATTAATCTAGACTATTGAAAATTGAAACATTCAAAAGGTTATAATTAAAATTGAAAATCTAATCAATAAAACAAGTAAAAATTTAAAATGTAAAAATAGGAAATGTACATAATGTAAATAAATGGCAAGAAAATGAATTAATTCTCTTACGTATTTGCTAGGTTTTTTTTTAAAGTGAGATAGGTCCGTTACTTTGTTCGTACTCAGAATGGAATTTGGAATTCGAACCAGGAAGGAGAATGCAGGAGGAGAGAATGAGTTAGGACGTAATTCCTATAAATCAGTATTCAGCCAAATTAAACTTTACAGCATCAAAACGTAAAGAAGAAAAAGAGGAAGTAGAAAGTTGCATGTTTTTAAATGCTATTCCAAGTTTCCAGCAATTATGTCCTGATGATGATTACCTACGTATGGCTTGAATTTAGGCAATTCGCAATGTTATTCCACCGACTCTTCTACTTCATGATAAGTTGCCTATACATTTAAGTATAGGCAACTTAACATGAAGTATCATGTTAGTAAGTTGCCTATACATTTAAATGCAACCACTGGTCTGATGTCTAAAGCTGGAAAGAAAAATTTACATTTGTTGAAAATTCGAGAGAAGAGTAATTTGTCAAATTGGAGATGAAGAAAATTGATTTTAATGTAAATTTTGCATTTAGGATGATAGTTAGAAAGTTTATATTTACAGTAATCAATACCTAGGTTTTTAATAATCTGTAGATCGTTGCATTTTGAAAGAAAACATTTTTCAAGTATTAAAATAAATGTTTTAGTACAAGAGTGTAACTAGATTAGTTTCTTGGCGAAATTAGCGGAATTAGATAAATTTTTTAATTGCATCAGCAATTTAATTGTATCTAAAGTTGGTATATACCTTTTATTGTTGATTCTACTTGCTCGTTTTCTTCTTTGCGTTTTGATGTTGTAAAGTTTCAATTTCCTGAATACTGATTTACTGGAATTACCTTTGTGACTTTGAATGTAAGTATTAAGTCCGTAAGGACAGAGCTTACATTGTTTGAGAACATATAGCGATTATTGAAACATTCGTTCTTCGTAATTAGGTATTATGTCTAATATCTGTATTTTAATATTGTTGAAGTTATAGTATTTAAAATGTTCTAGATCCACGGAGTTAAGTTGACTGGATGAATTAATTTGAGTGCTATTCATTTGCGTCGCTTTGAATTTAATATGAGCTGTATGGATATTTAGTCGAAAGTTGTGACTGGTTTTAGTCCGCCCTATATATTTAATATTTCAGGTGTTGCAGGCAAGCATGTAAATACAGTTAAAAGATTTTCATAAATCTATTGTTTGAGGTTGTCTGATGCAGACACGGCATTACATTTACATGGATGTCATCTAATGGAACAACAATTAATAAATTATATTTGAGAGATACGAGAAATAGCTAAAAGTAAAGGGGTTGCCACTAAGTTTAATCGATTAGCATTTTTACGCAACCAGGTCCACCAGTTCCTTATATATATATATTGATATATATATATATATATCACTGGTGGATCTGGTTGCGTAAAATGACAATCACAGTAACCGATTAAAAACGTTTCATTCTTGGGAAGTGCATTCTTTATAGGAATTCATTAAGCTAATAGGCAAAAACACACAAATATGTTTTCACAGATTTGTTTCTATTAAATAAAAGCTTGATAAGGTAACTCAATCTTATTTCCTTATTTAGCTTCGAAAAGGACAAAGCTTTATTGCCCGTCCTGGAATGCAATAAACCTTCATGTTTGAAAAACAAATTACGAAATATTTGCAGTAATGAAAAAATGGGCGATACAAATATACATAAAAGATGAAAGTTAAAGAACTGCTTTTTTAGTCAATAACGAATTAAATATATAGTAAGAATTAGAATTTGTTCACGTAAAATATATTTTTTAAAAAAGAGTTTGTCATATATAGCGTTATACATCGAGCATTATTTAAATAAGATTTTTGCTTTGTTCGTTTATTCTTTCCGTAACTACTTCTTTCAAATTAGCGTGGTTTAAATAAATAGTTAGTTGCAGTCGCATGAAAGATACAGAGTTAAAGATATCGAAGCCCCGCAAAGGCATTTCTTAATTTTTTTTTTGTTTCGTGCTCCCAATTAGCCTAAGGACTCTGTATAACTCACCTCCAAACGCAGGACATAAATTCATCACCACCAGGTTCTTTCTTCCCAGTCGCTGTTTAAGTGGGGAAAATGTAAGAAAGAGATATTTTTATTTTTCGTTACAGTAGGGCGCTTTAGTGGAATTAACGCGAAGCATGTCGTGCTAACATTCGGAATGTCCGGAGTTCGAAAAAAAGCGAAGTTATTATTCATTTTGTTAATTCATGCTCCCAAAAAAACCTAAAGGCAATTTTAATTTCGTCGTCGGAAGATTACGAATTTCAATTTTTTTTTTTTTCTTCACAAGTGTTTTTCCCCTTAAGACTGAATATATGGAAATCGCCAAATTTCGCTTGCTTTCAGCTGTAAAATGGCAACATCTAACGTTCTTTTCCTGTAAGGCATTTGCCTGATGTACATTTTTACATTTACATAACAATCTAAATAGGCAAAAAGGCATTAGAAATGCCTTCTTTTGGGCTGCTGGGTTATCAATGTGCAAAGCATTCACTAAGCAAGTGCACAAGGAGCCTAAACTCATGTATTCTGAGAAGAACGGTACACACATGAGGCTAGATAACGAGATCAGTTGCGATTTCGTTTCTGATAGGATTCGCCTGTTTCAGTAGTAGAAGGCGGTAGCATGTTGGGAAGGGAAAGGATAATAGTTTTCAGAATGATTGGGTTTGTTAATTTAATTTTGCTAGGTTAATCTTAAGTTTCGATCTGCAAATTTTAATTTATTTTTGATTGAAGCGTTATCTGTGTGTCTGCGTCATTAGCGCCAGGCAGCAATCATGTGACATGTGTAAATGCCAGCAGTGTACATATGAGGAAAAAATAATGAATGGAACATGAACTTTAAATTACAATAAGTCCGAGAAGTTTGCCCTTACGGGGCAGCAATATGGGCAGAGCCAATGACAAAATAAAACAATAAAACTTTCATACAATCTAGCGACCCTTCCTTCTCTACTACACAGGAAGCTACAGAAAAACATCAAATGAGGACCTCTTCCAAATCGCTAACAGCACACCACTTTTTTTTAATACGCGCTGAACAAGAATTCCACAAGACAACAGTACTACAGCTACGAAAGAAGGGCCATTACAAATCATTAGAACTCTTAGCATAGAAATACGAGACACCAGCACACCCATATGAGCATCACGCAGGGAAGAAAGATAATATCACATTAAGCATGAAAAAAGAAGTAAACGAAAAGAAATTCCCCCCACTCTATGCAAACGGTTCCGGTGTAGAAGAAGGTAAAGGTAGCGCAATCATAATCTACCTAGATCCCAATTCGACAGCAGAACGAAAGTTCCACCTAGATTGTCAAAAGCGTGTATTGGAAGGAGTCAGTAGCGCTCCTTCAAGCAATAAAATGCAGCATCACAAATCTCTGAAAACAGCATATATTTTTACAGACAGTCTTTCAGGGATGCATGCAATCGCAAACCCGCACCACCAATCAAAATTAATCCAAGAGATTACAGAAATAACTTCAGCATCACAAAATCAACACTTCTTTGTCACTTGGCTGAAGGCACATGCAGGGGTAAAAGGCAACGAGGAGGCTGAGATCCTAGACAAAGACGCAGCTAGGGGTCAAAACGCACAATATTTATCAGTACCATAGCCTGACTCGCACCTTAATAAAATCATAAGCAAGAAATCTAAAGCTGAATGGCAGAACTGGTGGGAAAACGCCGAATAAAGAAGAAGGACTTATCAAATATTCCCAAAAGTAGGCACAGCACCCAGTTTAATAACAAGAGAAATAACGTGGTTCTTATCCGGACATGGTCCTTTTCCTACGTACTTTTATGCAAGGAACTTAGCTACATCAGACGAGTGTGTATGTGGAGAAAGAGGCAGTCACGAACATTATTTATTTAAATGCTGCCTCACAGCTGAACATCCTGTAAAAGTCCCGAATTCAGAGAGTTAAATGATTCGTTTTATAAGATACGCTATCAAGAACAACCATCTCAGAAAAAAAATCATAAATATAATGAACTTCTTGTCCACAAGAGGCAGAGAGCTATGCAACATAGCGTAGAATAACATAACAAAGATATTACTTAAAACATGGTATGTAAGCAAACCTGGAGCTGTCCTCCATAGCATGTAAGTGCGAAAGGCACCAACTTTGAAAATATCAATGTATATTTAATGGAAAAAAGAAAGGCACAGCCCGCAGCGTGGTACCAATACAAAGCATTGCAAGCAACGCCTGGTAAGGTTTCCTGTGAGACTTGTGGGGTGTAATCATCTGGATAACTAGTGTGCCTGGACAACACCCACATTGCCAATCTTTAAGCAATGGGTATCCACCACACGTCATCGTATCCATACAATAAGTCCTTAACTCTCTTTTATTATTTATTTATTTCCTCTTTATATCGTAAAAGCAGTTACTTATATTTGCCGATTGAACAGTTAGGTCGGATATGGCGGTCCTTTCCACACTGATAATACCTTATTTTCCGATGTTTCTCGAAAACTGCTTCCTTGAAACTCTGTTCTTTTTTAGAATCATCCCCTTTCCTATACTCCTTCGATTTAATTCTTCTATGACCACTACTTTTCTGATTATCACTACTAATGGAATTTACATACAGCTCTCTAGCTTTCTCAAATGGTT